TGTCCTATTTTATATTTCCCTCTTAGCTAGGGTGTCAGGCATGTGCCACCATGCAATGCTTTTTATGTTGAAATGTGGTCTCACAAACTTTCTTTTGCCTGGACTGGGTTGGAACTGCTATCTTTCCAATTTCAATCTTATGCTCCAAAGTAGGTAGGATTACAGGTGCAAGCTACTGGCTCCCTGCTATGGATACATTTTTGATACTCACAATTGAGTTTGTGCTGCTAGCATCTAGTTGGTAGGGGTCATGTGTGCTACTAAATATCCTACAGTAAATAGGACATCTGCCACAACAATATATTTTCTGGGTCAAAATATCAATAATTGTAAAGCTGAGAAACCCTATATCAAAATTAGAAAATTTGGCCACTGAATGAGCTATCCCCAGAAAAGGATCACTCTTTGTTATCCATCCCAAAGCTAGTGATCAGGATTAATGGGATGGGAAATTATACATGCTTACCTTGAAAATTTAGAATTTTGTCCTGCCTGTTCCCAGAAATGGTGCATAGTTCTTTTCCCAGGCCAGCCTGATTAATATTTCCTGTGGGTAGCAACCTGGCAAAAATGAGACCTGTAAGATTCAAACTTAATTCTGGTTACCTGTTATAAAAATGCCCTTGTCCCTCTTTCATCCAATCCTTTTAAAGGTTTGGATAACTGTTGATTATGATTTAGAAAATAAAGGACAAGGTTATAGTTACTGGAACGAGACATTCAAGGTATTATCTAAGTGGAGGAATAAGCCAGCATCTGTGGTTGTACAAGAGACAGAGGGTCTGATAGACCTTTGTCTATCAGAACTGTCTTCTTAGCTCCAACTCCAAGGAATATGTTCTGGTGTCGCTTTCTCAAACTGTTGCAAGCACCTTTAATTAAACTGACTGGTAGGTCTGCCATCTCTGACCAGATAACTCTGACAACTGTCCCCTTTCTTTTATTGAGAGGACTATGACAAGCAGCTGGGGATGATCTCAGCTCCTCTCCCCCCTTTTCCTCATCCCTAATCTTAGTCATTTCAGGGAGCAAACCAATACCACACCTCTACCCCTAGCTAATGACATGGACAAACATGCAAATTGGATTGACTGCCCTTTAGCAGAGCATCCAAAACAATGTATAGATTCAGTTATCTAAACTGTGGACTTTAAGACTTGCCTACTAGTGTTCTGAACTGGTTTCCCTGACTGGTGTGGGTAAACTTCTGTTTTTAACTTTGAGTTAAGGACTCAACCTATTATAAAGACTTTCTTCCAAGACTAGCATTTGTATTCTTGGGATTGTATTTCTTAGGTGGTAAGCCAGACATTGACATATATCTCTCCCGAAAACATTGTGACTGACATCTCAGGATGGTAAACTTTTGGCATCTTAAACTTTTCAACACACTTGTGTTAGTCAGCTTCACATTACTATAATATATAGCTGAGACAATCAACTTATGAGTTAAAAGTTTTACAATCATTCAAGGTTGCAGAGGTTCCAATCCATAATCCTCTGGTTCTACTGTTTTCAAGTTTATAGAGAGGCAGAGCTTCATGGACAGTGCAGGTAGCAGAGATAAACTACTCACCTCATGGCCAGAAAGCAAAGGAAAAAGAAAGGGAAGAAGATGGGGCCACACTATTCCCTTCAAGGGCATACCCCTCATGATCTAACTTCATCTCACTAGGCCCTACTCTTAAAGTTTCCACCATATCCCAATACTGCCAAGATGTGGAGCAGATTTTAAACACATTGGCATTTGGGGGATATTCCAGATCTGAATTATAGCAATCCTAAAAAGAAAGGCTTAATTATGAGGCAACAACATCCATATTAAGACCTTCAGCTTTGCCAGTTACTTCAATAGCTTTAGAAAAAGAATATTTGATGTATTATCTAGGGATACATTCTAATTGATTGTTCTGTCTTCTGCGATGAGGCATGAGGGAATAAAACTTAGCGACTCTTGTCACTTTTACCAATCTTCAATTCCTATGCCACCTCTCTTTATACTTCCCTAATTTCAATTTTACTCTTTATTCCTGCCATCTCCCATTTCTTGGGTAACATGCCAGGCCAGTCCACTCAAGTGTCTGCATTGCTTATAGGTTGTTTTATTTTTTTTAATTTTATGTTTTTATTTCAGTTGTGTCTCAGCAGGGCACAATGCCTGCATATAGACTTTGCCAGCCAGAACTGAACTCATAAATTTTTGATTAATTTATTTATGTCAATTTTATCCAGAATATAAGATTATTAACTTATGGGCATAGCTAGTGATATAAGTGGGTATAGCTGGCTTTATCCCTCATTTCTTAGGAATGATTATACTGTCAATACCACTGATAAGAAATTTTAAAAGCTATTTCTTGAGCACTAAATTTGTCCTAAATAATTTACATGTAGTTTCTAATTCTTTTAAGGCAAGATGGAGAAATTGTGGTTAGTGGAGAAAATAAGTTGTCATGGAAAATGTTATGGAAATAGTCATAAGTGTCAGAGCTTGCATTATTGTTTTTACAGCACTGAGGTTTGAACTCAGGGCCTCACACTTGCTAGGCAGATGTTCTACCACTTGAGCCACTCCACCAGACCCAGAGCTTGCATTATTATCAAGAGCTCTCTGAATATGAAGCTTTTGCTTGCCCTGTTATATTACCTTCCCCTTTTGGTGTGCTTAGAAAGTCACTAAGCTATAAAAATTATCACAAGTCATGTGTTTAAAGCCAAAACCTTGATGAGTTCAGGGCACTTCTACAAAAACACTTGCCTGGATTTCACAGTAAATACAGGACCATTTCAAACTGTTTCTTTTCTCATGTCATAAATAACCTACTTACCAGACCTTTTAAAATTACTTCTCAAAAAACTTAAAGATAAAATTAAATATTCTTGACATGGTATCTTGCCCACACACTGCAGCTAGAAAGACTGAACATTTTAGTTGATTTTTCACTCTGTATATAGACAGTAAGAATTGCTCTTTTGTGTTTTGTTGCCCTCTTGAATGTTCCCATAATAGTAGGTTATGCCATATGATGGGCAATTTGCCTTTGCACCACTTTGCTTGTCATGCTAGTTCACCTAACCTTAAGTAGCTGAGACTAGAAAAGAGCTCATAGAGGTTACACAGCTCAGTAGAATGCCTGCCCTTTTTTTCTCTGCTTCTTTGCCTTCTACGCATTTTACTCAGTTTTACTTCTGTTGCACTTACACTTTTTAAAATTCTTTGCTTACAAATTCACTGGGGAAAATACAGCAAGAAATGTAAATATTCTTTGTTTCCTCATATAGTGTCCATTTTTGGCTACAGATTAAAAGTAGCTGATAGGTGAAGAATAAACAGAAATAAAATTGAAACAGAAATTTACTTCTTGCTCTAATTTTAAAAAGCTGCTCTGTTAAGGAACTGAGGTTACTTCCACCACAATTAAGGCTTAAATACATTGTTTTTCAAAACAAAACTATATATAAATAAGATAACTGTCTCCACGACAGTCTAGTCTGAAGGAAAATATGAAGTACTTTTCTAACAAACTATCTTTTTGACATACAATCACAACATGAATAATACCATTATAATATTTAATTTAACTACCATAGCATGAGACATATGAAAAAAAGAGTCTCCTGGCCGTGTTGTGTTCTTGTCAATGTATAATTGTATCCCCTGAGGTCATGTCCACACTTTAGTAGATTTTATGTCTGATAAAATTATTGTTTCTTGTTTTATGAATATACCCTTTTTAGCTCTTAAACATCAGTATCTTAGTTTTCTATAAAGTGTATTTCCTATTGACAGAATAATAAATTGAATAAGGTCTTTATTATTTTCAGAATTACAGGGTCACATTTTAATTTCTGAATTTTATAGTTCAGTTTACATATCAACATGTACAAAACAAGAACAGTGGTATTTTTAAAATACAAAATAAATATCTTTTTGTGGAACACTAACTATACTTTCTATTTAAACAGACAGCTAATATGGCAAAACAATGGCCCAAATTAACATTAACTCTAAAATCATCAAAATAGGAAGAACTGCTTTTCAGTTTAAATGATTTTAGGAAAAGTTAACTTGCACCTCTTAAAATAGAACCACTTAACTCACTGCTGAAACTAATTTTTAGAAGTTTGTTTGAATTTATTCTTTAATAAAGCATCATTCACATTATACATTTGTATATAAAATATCTTCATGTGCTTATCTAAATGCTCACTTTGATACTTAAGTAACTTTTTCTTAATCCAAAATGACTTCTAGATATTAAATGTCATTTCATTCTGCACTACTTTTATATTAGTCTTTATAACATATTCTAAAACATTATATCCTACTGCTCTGAAAAGGAGGACAAGCTTAATTAATGAATAAGGAAATTTGGACAGGTGGCTCACTTCAAAGGTCCTAGAGAAAACCTTTTAAGGAATACTACCAGAATGATACTTTGCGTCTCTTATCTAAGAAAAAAATCATGTTAACAACTTCAACTTTTGAATCCAGCTTGGTTTTTTATTCATGAAATACACACCAAAAGTTGCTTTCCTTCAATTACTCATAGGATTGAATTTTTGCTTCATCTTTACAGAACTGTCTGAGAAATCTTTGTTTTTATATAGTTCATTTTGTTTTCCATAAGAACATAAACTTCTTTCAAAAAATGCAACTTCAGGAAAGAATACCATAGCTAGATTCTTTTTGCAAGTAATGTAGACTTGGAACAGGACTATTACAGATGTTTCTAATATATAATCCTGAGTCCAAATTAAATTAATATTATTATATGAAGCTGTTTCTTCTTCTCAAACCATCCCCCAAAGTAAGATTTTTTATATCCTAGGAAGTTTTATTTTATTTCCTTATAAAATTAAGACTTCTTAGTTCTTAATATTTGCTACTTATTGAATTATTTTTAAAAGTTTATCTGAAAGAATTGTAATTATACTTTTCATCTTGACATTTGCAGAATTTTCATTGAACTAGATGTTGAAGTTCTCCCATAATGATTTTATGAGCTAAGATGAGGTCGTTTGGGGGGTGATGCTTTGTCTTCTTTTTCTTCTTCTTCTTCATCATCATCATCAGGATAATCCACTAAAACATGCATACTGCTTCTTTGGGGGCTATTCATTCTATTACTACCACCAGCAGCAAGATGACATGAAGAAAATCTGAAGTCACTCGAAGATGTTGTTTCAGGAATATCTGCAGTGTCTTCACTTTCTTTTGTTCCTTTATTTTCTATAAATTCATCAGAATGATCTGGCAACTCATTTTCCATTGGTGGCATCAATTCTTTTGTATTTCCCTTAAGACACATTTCTTTCTTCACCTTCATGATTTTGGCACATTTGCAAAATATTTTGCTAGATATTATAGAGTGCAAATTCTCCCTTATTTTGTTTTGTTTTTCTTTCTCTTCTTCATATTTAATTTTCAATCCTTTGAATGTCTGAACATATTCAATAGATTCAAAAGCCTTATAAAACTTCTCAACTATATGTGCAACAAGAGGTTTGATGTTTTCCACTCTTATATATTCAAATATATCAATAATAGCTGAATTTAACATATTGTACCGAGTTCCATTAAGCAGAAAAGTATTTACAACTGTCTCAAAAAGATTTTCCTTAATGATATAACAATTGTAAAGTTCATCTTTAAGGCCTATTATCTTTCTCACAAAGCGGACCACAGAACAGACCAGGATTGTGTGTTTTGAACTCATCAACATCAAGACTCTTCTTAACAAGTCTTTGCTTAAAATATAATTTTTAATATAATGTGTGTGATGTTCTACACAAAATGTGAGTAATTCTAAAATTAAATCAAGCAGCTGTGCTGTTTGATAATTATTGGGGCTATTTTTGTTTTTCTCAGTTTCAAATGGATCATTCTCTTTACCTTTTCCTTCTGAAGTGGCAGACAAGAGTGGCGCTATCAAGTTATGCATGCAATGTTTATAGAAGATATTTAGAAATTCACTACTTTCACATTCATTAGGCGTTGTCAGCATGTTTTCTGGATCAAGAAGAGAACGAAGAAGTTCCATCATATTAACGTCACCTCCAAGCTCAGGATCAGTGTCACAGATCATTTGTTTGATTATTACATTAATGATGACTTCATTACCTTCACCCTCCTGGGCTTCTTCCATTACAAATCCTTGGATGGTAGATGGACTATATTCTACTAGATAAGCAAGTATTTCTGTAGCAGTTAGCTTTATTTGGACATCATCTATACTCATTACAATTTTAAGAGCAGAAATGATTTCTAGTTGTATCAATGTTTGGAATAGTGCATTCTTGCATTCAGGCTGTAAAGTCTGGGAAAATGCACAGATTTCCTTGAAAAATAATAGCAATTCAAGTCGTTTATCATCATCTGTAGTCTCATCCTTTAATTGTGCAAAAACTTCAAACATAAACATCTCATCCTCCTGCAACATATTGACTATTTCCACCTTGTTTAAGAAAATGAATGTTGTAAGAGTGGAAAGAAGACTCTTTTCAAATATAGATGGTATAGGTAAGAGAATATCATGAATGTACTGCACTCTATATGTCTGATGTATTTTTTGCCTAAGTTCAAAGTTTGTTATTGGTATAACTTCTTTGAACTTTGCATTTTGGGTCAAGAATTCCCTATGCTGTGTTGGTTGAGCCAAAGCAGGATCATATTCAAGACATCCCACCACGTCCATGATATACTTATCAGAAAACATGATCTCAAGTAGATGAGACTTGTTGAGAAATAATATTGCTTTAATAATGTTATGCAAATGGTATAATCCTTCAGTGTTCTGTTGGTTCTCACAAGTATGGAACAGTTGCAGTAGTTTTTGAACATAATCCTCATTTTCCAAGATCAGAGCCAGCCTTTCCTGGCGGAGAGGAGAAGCAGAAACGGAATCAAATAAATTCTCAATTTGTTCGAGTGTATTGAGTTCGCAGTCAGGCAGCTCAATCAGATTACTGCTTTGTGGCATTTCATCATTGTTTTCTGATGTATCCAAAACGTTTTGTGTTATTTCCAAGCTTGGATCTTTACCTTGGACTTGACATATATATTCCCAGATCTCTCGACAGCCTGCTGGATCCTGGAAGCTTAGTGCTAAACCATCACTGTCATTTTCTGCTTCCGACCAAAGAATTAACACCCCTCTTTGTTTCTGATAGCAGGTGTTTGGATGTATCTTGGACTGCATAATCAACAACCCATCTGATTCAGAATGAACAAGTAGACACACTCCGTGGAGTCGCCCAATGTATCTAGATGAAACTTGTCCTATGCCAATTTCGCTCCACTTCCGGTCTTCGTCTCTCACATAGACTTTGACGCGGTGTCGCCTGCTGGCCATGACGACTTTTAGCCTGTCCACGCTAGGTCTGGTCTTCCTGCCGACCTCTTAGCATATCCCGGCCTGTGGTAGCAACCGCTACGTTAGCAGCGACAGTTGGTGACGTTGGCAATTCGAAAATGTCGTAATAGAAAATGCAGATAACTAGTGGTTACCAGGATGACAGAAATTGAGAGAGGACTAAGGTCAGCAAGATTCCTCCAAACACTCTGCTACCTCTGATTTTCTCCCACCTTGAGCTTCATCAACCTTCATCCCTTCTTCCTTGAGCTTCATCAACTTTCATCCCTTCTTCCTCCCTCCCTTACCCACACTAAGTGAGTCTCTGTGCCTGCTTAGGCTAATAACGTCTCCGTACTGGCAAGAATCTTGTGATTCTCCAGGATTTTGCCTAAAAAGAATTTGCTTATATAAGACATATTATACTTGTTAAAGGGAACTGCCACTAAGCTTAGAATGGAAGCTAAGAAATCAGATATATGGGGATGGATACTTTAGGACCTTTGACAAAATAAAGTTTACCTATGTCCTGAAGGAGTCCACACCTGACCGTCTATGTTAGTAAAACACTGGGTGAAATAAAAAGCAGTAGTAGATGACTAACAGACATTGAGCATCTCCAGAATCAGAGAAATTGGGTTGGATTTTCTCCTGCTTGGTCTAAATCTGTATCATTCTCTTATTCATCTCTGAGAGAAGCTGTTGTTACAAGGAGGAATGTGGCAATGCATTGCTCTGTTCAGCTTTGTCTAAAGTTTTATCTTTTAGCACAACAGGTGAAACATTTCCTTAAATGTTTTCCTATCCACAAGCATATTCCTTATTCTCAGGGAAGAACTGGGCCAAAGGGAAAGTGAAAGTAATTTGCCAAGAGTGAGTGTTGACCATTACAGATCAACTATTTTATTTCTTTTCTTAATATTGAAGATGATAACAATCTCACAAGAATTGAATGAGTGCTTATTATTTGATGAAGAAAGGTAAAATCAGTTGATCAACTATAATACTTTGGTGTTACTATGTCCGAGACACTGTGATAAGACTTATACACATACATACTTAGTTTTCATAGTAATCTAATAATATAGCAGTATTAATAATCTTTTTAGGATCAGGGAACAAACTTAGAGAAGTTAAATAAATTGTCAAAGGTCACACAATAAGTTGGAGAATTCTAATTTGAATACAAGTCTTTCTAATTCCAAACTCAGACATTGAACTATTATCTCCTTTTCTTGGCCTTCATTACACTTTATTTCACATTCTTTCCATCTATATAATTTGTAATCAACATAAAATAATCAAGAAAAGATGAAAGTCACACACTTCCTCCTTTAGATTCACATCTGTGTATAGCCAACTGAAAAATAGAAGCTTGGATATGGCAACTGTGTTAAATATAATTTTAATAGTAACCAAGTTGATTTTTGATGTAGCAGCAACTTCTGCAGTTTTCTTTCTTCAAAAATATTTTTCTGAAACATTAACCCTGCTATTGCAAGGGAAAAATTGAGACATCAAACAAACTTATATTTGAAAAGTCTTATTTGTAGTAATCATTTCATTTTATATAATATTGTAGATTTGTGATAACTCTCAAGTAGGGCACAGAAAAACCCACACACCTCCCTTGCAGTGTTATCTCCAGACCACAGTCTGGGATTTTCAGTGGCATAGTGAAGCTAGGGCACTGGGGGAGTTGAATGTAAGAGACAATCATTTCATGACAAAAGGTAAGTCAGTGCCAGAATACTGCTGGTTTAGAAACATTTACAAATAATAAATAATTTTTAAACACAAGAATTAAGGACTAGTATGAGAAGTGACAGATATATTAGTTAGAAAACATACCATATTTCAAAAAGAGAGAATTACAAATATACAATAATGATAATGGCATGTATGTTAATGGTCCAATTTTTGTCTCTGTTGTGTTTGTAGTAAACATAGAATCAATTATAGTACTGTCAATTTTCTTGATATACACTCAGGTTCCATTCTCTGAGAAGCATTCAGCACAAATCTATGTCTTCTCACAATTTTGTCACTGGGAATTTCCCTTTATCCAATTAAGGTCATTTTATCTTAATTATGTTAATAAGAGTTCCTTAAAATCTAAAACAATCTCAAGTATACGTTTCTTATTGCTATTTGTGCAATAGTTTCTTTCAATTCTTTTCTTGCTTATTTGGGGAAGTAATGTTCCTTTTTGTTTCATTATTTGTACCTGCCTAAGACTATTATTTTCTTCTTTTTGTTGCTTTATCAGGAGTAAAGTCTTATTAATAAGTAAATATTATATACTTGGAGCTTTGTAAATCCTTTTATATGCATTATTGATGTTTTTAATTAATTATCATATAATAGTGGGCCAAGGAAGATTTTATTACTACCATATTAGAGGGAAAAAACTTGAAACTCCAAAACTTAATCAAACATTTGGTTCAAATTCCTATAATAAGTGATGATGTCACTATCTGAAGTCCAGCCTTTCATAGTTTCAACTTCTCTTTTCTGTTCCCAATCTGAAATGCTCTCTCTGTGATAAAATCAATGTGTTTCTATCTTATTTAGAATAAAAGCGACAGTTCTAAGACCCTTCTGTAGAGTTAGGCAAGATCTGGCCTCCTTGACTTATCTGAACTCTTCACCTAACTGTCTCTCTCTCTTCTTTATTCTGTCCCAGCTACACTAACCATTTAGCTGTGTCTGAAATATATTGGATATACTCTTGTCTCATGACCTTTGCACTTGCTCTTATTTTGACCAGAAACACTCATATTTCTCAATATCTGCATGGGTCACAACCTAATATCCTTCAAAAATTTATTCAAATGTTCTTTATCTCTAGTGAGACCATCTCTAATCACCCCTTTAAAATTGCAGAGACTTTCTACCCAACCCATTCAACACATTTCTTTGATGTTTATTTTCACCATAGCACTTAACATCATCCAACCATTTTTAGTTAATTTTTTTTTTTTTGGGAAAGAGACTACCACTTGTATAAGTGCTGTGATTTTTATTTTCTTACTGCTTTTCCCCTTTTCCCTTCATAAACATGGTACATGATAGTTTCTCAAAAATTATTTATGGTATAAATACATAGATAAAAATCTTTATTTTTAATAATCCTTTTATTTATTTCTAACATAGTCATTGACTAGCTCTGTGTACAAGCTTAGGTACTAGGGACAAAACAGTGAATATAAACTCTATGTCCAGCCCTTTTATAGAGTGGATAGTTTTATCAGGAGATTTTTCTAATTTACAAGATAAACCTGGTATTTCCCCTGCCACCTTAGACCTACTCTTTTGGATAGTTTCCTACTTATTGGTGGTGATTAAGGCCTTTTGTTACATATTGAATTAACTGGATGTTTTCTTCTATGTTCTGTCAAATGTTCCTTCTCCAACTGAGTGAAGTGTTGGGTACAAACTGCAGATTTTCTACTCACTGTTAAGTATTGAAAGAATTCCAATTTTCTAATATTAAAATATTCAATCCATTTCAAGCTTCGGTTTGAATTATTGCTTTTCCAAAGCAAGTTCATGGCCAAGACAAGAATCAAGATTGGGAATGCTATGCTCCAAATTGAGTGTGAAATTATAGCTAATTTATATAGCAAACAACATGGATATAGGGAAGGGTGAAGAATTGGAGACATTTATGCAATCTTCCATAAGGTTCAACAACAAGTGTGACCTGGAACTTTCCTAGACAGAGGGATGTAGCACTCTATATGTAGAGTGTTAGAATGTGTATACAATTAAACCACTATATTTTCACCTTCATGCTACTTTGTGTTCATTGCAACAATAGTGGATATCACTTTCCTAGAATCTCACAGGTAAGGATCACTCTTTTGTATTTTTTTTGATTCATAGACATTTGTATTAGCACTAGTACATTCTCAGTAGTGTGTTTCACTTCTTTGGAAGCTCCAAAAACTATTGTTGACACTTCATGGATTTAGGCAGAAAGAAATTGGAGTAAACATTATCTTGACCTCATGTAAAATTTAGAGTCTGACTTTCAGTGGCATACACTCTTTGTTTTCATTTGCTCAAACAGCTTCTTCTAGATGAAGTTTAAGTTTTAATTTTAATTCCACAATTCATAGATCTCTTCTTTTTTCTCTGTCTGCATATACCATGTGTTTTTCTTCCTTTACTCAGGTCAATGGCTGAGAAGAACAATTGCTGTCATCTTGCTCCTTTTCCTACACCTGTGTTAGCAGTAATACCAATGAGCTTGATTTGGAATTTAAAATCTCCCACTTTTTGCTTAGAGATACAAATCATCTTCATTTCATCAGTATAACTCTAGATATATTTATATTATTTATTTATTTATATTATTTTTAGGTGACAGTTGATTTTAACTTAATATTTTACTTCAATCCCATTAATATTTGAAGGAATGTCTTGAACATAATGCATTAATATTTGAGGAGAGAATTTGATTAAGCCAGAAACAGAAAAATGTTTCATGATAAATAAGAGAAAAAATTAAATACCTTGGTTAGTATTTATTTTGAATTCATTACTATTTATTTGAGGATCTGGTTCATTCCTCTTGGAAAATAGCCTTTGTGTTTTGTTACTGGCAGGTGAGGTGATCTGTGATCACATTGTTTAGGCAGGAGAGCTCACATGGAGGTATTAGAATAATTTTTTTTTGCAGTAGTAGAGCTTGAACTCAGGGCCTAAACCTCAAGCCACTCCTTTGGCCCTTTTTTATGATAGGTTTTTTGAGATAGGGTTTCACAGACTATTTGCCTGGGCAGGCCGTGAACTGAGATCCTCCTGATCTCTACCTCCTGAGTAGCTAGGATTACAGACATAAGCCACCAGCACCTGGCTAGAAATACATTTTTTAATTATAGGCTAAAAACATTCAGAAAAATATCTGATTTTTATTTATATTTACTTAAGAGTATGATTTAAAAAATCTTTAATTTAAGAAGTTTATCAGATATCAGTTACAATATTATGTA